AAGGGCTCGGCGTCGGCGAAGGCGACAAGAGGCACCAGGGCGAGCACGGGGAAGGCCTCCTTCAGGCGCGAGCCCGGGAGGCCCCGCACCACGGATCTTATAAATATGATCCGATTAGCCAGGCGGCGCAGGAGCGGGTCGACGGCGATGCGGAGATCATTCTCCTGGTGCCTGAAGGCGGCCAGGAAATATTCTTTGGCGCTGCGGTAGGCTCCTTTCTTGAAGCCCGCCCCGACGACCTCGAGGACATGCGCCGAAATGGGCCATGGCGACACCTCGCCCTCATAGGCGAGCCTGTTCCAGGTCTTGAGGCGTGACTAGTATGGCGCACGAGTCGTCTTGGCCAACATGTCGCCCCGGAGCTCGGCGATGGCCCGCTTGACGTTGGCCGGGCGGACCGCCTCGACCGCGGCGGCCAGGGACGCTCGTGCCTCCGCCCGCCTGGCCGGCAGGTCCGGCCTGTCGGGCCCGGCCGCGACCAAGGCCAGAGTACTTCCACCAACCTGTCGTGGCAGCCCACCAGGCCTTGGAGATTGCGCACCCCGGCGCGAGCCAGGAGCGGCAGGTGAACGGCCTGCCCGGCGCGGGTGGCCTGTGCGACCAGCTCGGCGAAAGAGCCTCGTCTCGGCTCGGAGGCCATGGTGCTTGAGCCCTCGAGCCGGTCAACCTCAATCAACCAACCCTGGCTTAGGGAAGGCGGAGGGCGGGTTCCAGCACAGGCAAGACGGCTCGAACTGACCCTTCTTTTTGAAAAACAGGCGCCAGGCGTCAGGATCTAAGCCCGCAAAAGGGCGAGTGGCGCAAAGGCCCCCAGGCGGCGGCGGGCTCAGAAGATCCAGGCCAGGCGAGCATGTAAAAGACGAGCTAGTCCTCGAACCGTAGCCCGGGGTGCTCGGACGGCAGGCGTCGCATTCATGGTGTTCATGCGGACGCCCGCCCAATGGCGGAAAACACACCGGGCGCAGGCACCTGGCGCGGTTGGGGCAGCGGCCGAGGTGCCCCGACCTGGGGCCTGGGCATCCCACGAAGCACCAGCCCACCCAGTCGAGATTGTGGCCGTCCGGGCGGCGCGGCAGGCGGCCCCCTCTCACATTCGGAGGCAAGGCGCGGAGGACCACGCCCTGGGTGACGGTCTGGGGCTGTGGCGAGACCGCCCCCGAGGCGATCGCCTGCTCCAGGGTGAGCGCCGACTCCCACGAGTTTGCCGCCCAGCCGCGCAAGGTCGGCGGCAAGGGCGTCGCCGCCATGGACGCCCCTGGCTCGTGGAGCGGGTACCTGAAGTCATCCCAGGCCGCCTGGAGCGGGTCGGACGAGCGCCTGTGAGTCCGATGCTCCCGGTTGCGGCTGCCGAAGCCGTGGCGCCCCTGGCCGCCAACCTCCGGCGGAGGGAAGGACGCCTTATTCGGCGGAGGCGGCACCGTCGATGAAGAGGAAGCCGCCCCCTGAGCGGCCGCCTCGGCGTTGAGGAAGTCCCGCCATGGCGACTCAATGGTTGTGGAACTCGCGCTCGATCTGGGAGGCCAGGGCGGTGTCGTAGTCGACGTTGTCCGGCAGCTGGCGAAGCCCCGCGTGGCTTCTGGCGGCCTGCTCCTGTCGGATGAAGGCCTGGCGCCGCAGGAACTCCCGGCGATGCGCGTCGTCCCGCTCCTGGTCCTGGAGCTCTGGGGGGGCGGCCTTCTTCGGCACGGCCGCCGGCGGCGTGGGCTCCAGGGTAGGCGCCGTCGACGGAGGCGGCGTAGTAGATGAGCTCGGCGCCTCCGGCTCCAGCACCGGCGGTGCCTTCACGACGGCCCTGGCGGTAGAGCTGCTGGCCGCCTCGGGCGTCGGCGGTGGCTGCGCCGCCATGCTCAGCGGCCCCGTGCTCTTGAACGTCGCCGGCCTCGGCGGGAAAGGTACCGGTGGCGGCTTTGCCGGCGATCCCGACGTAGGCGATGGCGGCGAAGTAGAGTCCGGCTCCAGGAACGGCGGAGGCGGGGCCTTGGCCACCGTCTTGGGCTTTGCCGCCGCCCGAATGGGCAAAGCCGATGCAGCCGGAGGCGCCCCAGAGGCGGAGTCGAACTCGGCCAAGTAGGACGTGAGCGCGTCCCAGCCCGCCTCCGGGAGCGGCGGGTCGGCGACCGGCTGCGGCGGGGCCCTGGCGGGAGCAGGGTCGCGCCCCTCCCAGAATGCGCGCGCCTCCGGCGCAGACGGGCCCGGATCCGTCGTGGGCTGGTCCGCCCCAGGCGCCCAAGATGCCGAAGGCGCCGACCAGGAAATAGTCGGCGGATCCTCGCCCACGGCGGTGTCTTGGTCGGGCGTGGCGTCGGCCTCGACCAAGGCCGCTCTGAGGTTCGCGGCGTCCTCAGGCGAAAGGGCCCGAATCACGGCGGCCAGGCGGGGCACCGACATGCCAGCGACGAAGGACCTGATGAAGTGGTCCTCATACGTCTGGGTGCCCCTGTCGTTGCCGCCTGCCGGCGGGGGCGGGCCAGACGGAGCTGGACTGTCGTCAGGCTCCAGGCCCCCCGGCGCCCCGCCCGGCGAGAGGGCCTCGGCGGGCAAAATGCCCGGGGAGGCGTACGCCCCAAGGGGCGTCGGCTCCAGCCCGTCGAGGCTGTCCAAATCCACCAAGCCGCCCGGCGCGGTCGTAGTAGGCGCCGAGGTCGTGCCCAAGTCCAGACCCACGCCAGGCGAGGCCCCGGAGCCATCCGCCCCAACAGGCGACGCAGGGACGGTGGCTGCCTCCAGCACTGGCGTGAGTCCGGATGACGACATGACCCAGGCGAGAGGTGGCAGGGAAGGACAGCGAATCACACAAATTGACGGGCGAGCCGATACAGCTGATCGGCCGCCCGCTTAAGCTTGTTCCTGCACACACACGTGTGTTACACCACAAGAATTCTTGGCTGAGGACTCCCGAGGAAATCCAGCACTTGAGGACCCAAGCTTTCCGACATCGAATTCGAGGTTCGGATCCAGGTCTGCAGTGTCTCTCAGGAAAACAATGTCTGCGCAAATCACCACATTTCGCACAATTCAATTTCAAGGACTCGAAATGCTGCTCTTTGGTGGTGTCTTTACAGATAAAGGTCATCTGTCCAAGTGTGAAGGACTTCGATTGCACAGGTTCGCACCGTCATCCTGGCAGCACTTCACTACCCCACACAATTGGGATCGCCAGACTCTATGCTTGGGGAGGGAGGAGCAATCATCTTTTCTTTAGGATGTTCATGGCGGCGTTCACCACCAAACGTCGGCAGAATGTGTCCCGGACATGCTGGCTACCGCAAAAGCGTTGCAGGGTAAGAATAGTACTTCCTGTCTGGCTTGAAGTGCTTGTCGCGCATCGGATATTTTCGCATCAGGCCGGGGACGACAGCCCGGAACCGGACAGCAGTGTCAGTGTCCTCGGAAGTCCCGTCATCCAAGTCGCCACTGCCACCGCGTCTCACCTTGCATCAGCTTCAGCTCACCGAACGGGACATGCGCCGGGTTTGTGGGCGCCGGACGCAGCTCGTGTAGGCGTTCTTGATCCTGAGGCGCGAGTAAGACGCTGCCCTGAGCCCTGGAGCCGAGTTCACGCCCGAGACTGGGACAGCTTCTCCAGCACAGCATCATTTCCAGTTCGGGCAGCACGAAACAGGTCACGACAGAAACCAGCGCCCAAGGCCTCAGAAAGCGGAAAGACTGCAGAGAGCGGACACCGGCGAACTGCAGGGAACAAGACAAGGCCGGCACGACTAGCAGCCCAGGCTGATTGTGACTCTGATCCAGCTCCTGCACAGGACGTTCTGTTGCAGGCGTGCTCCTCCATGTCAGCGCCAAAAGACTTTCCGGTCCTCAGGCAGCCCGGGGGGCGAGCAGCGAATTGCGACCAGCATCCTCTTTGCTGTCTCAACGAAGTGAACATCTCAAAAAATCGACACAACTTCTCGTTGCAAATGGTGAGGCCTGGGTGGTGTGGCGCCGGTGGAGGTCTTGTCCACAGGCCTCAGAAGCAGTCGGTCTTGGTGCAGAAACCTGCCCTCGAGATGAGGAATCTGTGAGACTCTTACTCGCACTCGGTGTTGTGTACGGCCCAAGGAGGAGTTGGACCGCGCGGGGTGTCATCCTTTCACCCCATGAGGGCTCGATTCTGTGCAAAAACGATGGGCCTTGCCTCATGGCTTCGGCACCTGAAAGAAAAGCCGTCAGAGGCCCACAGTGCCGCATAGCTTGGATGACTCAGGTCTGTACAGGAGTGGATGCGGATGATCGAAGACACCCTAGACGTCTGCACAAGTCCGAATGAGGCAGCTAGGGCCAAGTGCCAAGGCCTCATCCCGGCTGTCCAGAGAGGACCGGCTGAAGCAACCTTGCCTGACAGCTCCGAGTCTGAGGATGAATGGCCTAATCACTGGGGTTCCTTGGGCTCTGACGCCCAGACGCGGCTGCCCTCAAGCGAGAAGCGCGACATCCGAGAAACGCCCCGAGAAAAAGCGCGAGATTCAGATGCACGCGACCTCGAAGGAGTCGTCAACGCAGTTGCAGGACTCAGTCGGCGGATACTGCTTCCCAGGGTCGACATGCAGATTAACATCCACTTGGGCCTCGCAAACGGCCGCTCGCGCCACGTCCACCGAGCCTCGGACGAGCACCCTCAAAAGGATCCGAACTCAAGCTAACAGGGATCCGGCAGCCCAAGCCCATGAAAAGTAGTCCATTTAAAGGACATCGCGAAGAAGCTCACGCCATCAGTCATGGGCAAGGCGAGCAGGCATTTTTACGACTTGCAGGTCCCTGGCCCTTAGATATGCAATCTGGCATTCCCTGCAAAGCTTACATGCCTGAAAATACCTGACATCTCGCATGCTGAAGATCAAGTTGCCGATGCTGTTCCCATTTGTGCCCTGATGGCTCTGATTGATAGTTCAAGCTGCTCTGCGAAAAGAGAGACTTGCTGACCAGCAGGCGCAGGAAAATCCACGCAAACAGGGCCCATCTTTTGTCCAGCACCTCTTCCGCGTAAACCTGCTGGCGTAGCAAGCCAAATCAAGAGGCTCAGCATCTCTATGGGCCAACATCGTTCTGCATCTGTTCCAGCTCTGAAGTCTGAGAGTCTGTGTCTCGGCCTCTCAGGAGGCGGTCTGCCTGCAAAACCGCCTCAGCCTCCACGGCGTCACGGCGTCTTGCAAATCTTCGTCTGGAGCGAGTCCGTGCTGCTCTCCGCGTGGCCGTTTCATCTTACGGGGGGCTTCTCAATGAGCTTTCAGCTCCTGCCACCAGATCGAGAGACAGGCCGCTTCTAAGCTTTGCTCTGTCAATGTTCAAGATGTTGGTAACCTCAGCAGTCGGGATCCACACATTCATCCTGGATCGTTCTCGTGCAACACATAAGTCAGGCGCTGTAGCACAAATTTCCTCCCGCTCCTGGCAGCAAAAAGGACATGCAAAGAAGAGACGCGACAATTCCGTGCCGGAAGAGAAATCGCCTCTTGTACTTGGCAGGCATAGCATCAGTTGCCCTGACCTTCATCAGAGAAATCAAAAGCTCAAGCATAGTGGCGTTGAACCGACTCCACCGAAACGGAAGGGGCGCACAGCAATTCGGAGCATGCATCTCACACTGGGGATTCCACCACAACCGAAAGAACCGGCCGTGTGGAGCAACAGATTGCCCCAAACAATCAAAACAAAAATGGCTCGTGCGTACATGACGGACACGCAAAGCTCAGTTTAGCTGCAGTTCACTTGGTGACAGCTAACCCGCAAAGACACCGAACCATGACATTGAAGGGAGAAGAGATTCTTGTGCTCTCACACACACACACACAACAAACCAAGAGGGAGAGCGATAGGAGGTGCTCCGCATGGCCCTCTTCGAAGTTCTCGTTGCTTTGGACTCTTTGAAACTCTCAAAGCTGTTGGACACGGCCATGATCTCATGCAGCTGAGAAAGGCAAAACGATCATGTTCCGACAGGCATCCTCCTTTCTCATGTTCTTGAGGCCGTAGTGGGGTTCGCTGGTGAGTAGTATTGTGGCTATGCTTGCCGCTACTGCCTTTATCACACACTTACTAACTAAGATGACCTGTGTTACCTATGACAGTTGCTACTTCTCTTGTCACAGTATTATTATTTCTTGTATCACTAACAAGTAGTGAAGACATTGATGTTGCTCTTAGAGTACCGTTCCTGTTGCTGGGCCCGGTCTCCAGGGGCGACGTTGCTTCATTCAATTTAGTCTTCCTCTCTGCGTTCCTTTGCGCTCTTCTGCTGCTGGCTTTTCGCTTTTCTCTCTCGCCCCTGAAAACCAAGACTTAGGCATCAGCTGGGACTGGAAGGTCGATGACAAGGTCTGGATAGCCGGCTGAAGCCTGCAAGATGCTGCGACGAAATGTCTCCAACACAAAACCCTGCTTGCGGCTTCGAAAGCACAGTGTCGAACCACGCAGACTTTCTCGGGAGCCAGGTCTATGTTCACATCCGTCGGCTCGATACCTCAGTCGTGCTCTCTTCTCTCGGGCCATTTGTCAGCCCTCGAACTGCGAAGGCCTTCCGGCAGCATGATGTTCACAGTGACGAAGGTCTTCTCCTCACTTCGGGCACCAATGCTCTTGTTCCGCTCACTTTTGGAGCTTCCACGACGGGCCCCAGGCATTTTCCACACAGTACTTCCACCTGGTGGAAGAATCGAGATCTGCCTGTGCATACCGGCATGTGTTGCAACAGCTTTTTCCGTGGAGGGGCAACTTACCTTCTGGATTGCAGTAACAGAGGAAGGCACGGCGTCCAGCATCTCCTCGCATCCACAACAGAAAGGATCTGCAGCCATCTCACGCAGAAAACTGGTGGCGGAGACGTACTTTCAACCTGAAAAAAACTCCCTGCCTTCCTTCCACACAGCCAAGAGAAGGCAGTTACCTACCCTCCGTGCACGCACGCGCCCTGGTTTGAGGGGTCGGTGTGACATTCACGAAATCACGAAACGATGGGCTTCTTGAAGGGGGCTTGAGAAGCCTCGGCGGGGGGAGGAGGGGGCTGAAGGTTGAAGGGTTGGCTTGAAGGGGCTTGAGAAGGGGGTCTCAAGGGGGCTTGAAGGGGGGCTTGAGAGGGACTTCTGCTACATTCGCCGCAGTCTTCTTGCAACCGAGCCTCACAACATGGACTACGTCTGATAACTGCTGCCCACAACTGTTGCCGGGTCCGCGTGGCTGCTTGCTTACGACAAACAAGACCTCATGTTTCTCGTGTACGTGTTCCCTCTGCAGCTTTGCCCAAAGGACGTACCGGCATCCAAAAAGGAATGCCTGCCTCTCTCTCCCTCTCCGCATCCCCGACTCCTTTGGCCAACCAGCTTTGGCGGCCAGTGCTTCACAAACCTGACACTTGGGTCTGGGCCGGGCTTTAGCCCACAGGACATCCCTAGCTAGCTTGCGCCTGGCGGTCAGGTGCAGCGAAGGTGAGGCAGCACCTGGACTGTCGGTGCGAAGAACCATGCGCTCGCGAGCCCTTCACTTCCGGGGCCGTCACTGCCAAGCTTCGGTTCTCATCTGGGGCGCGTTGGCGTCGCCTTGCAGATGCGCCTCGAAAAAGACAGTGCCGGCTGAGAAGTGACACTTCGCAGGCAAGCCTGCAAGGCGGTCTCCAATGTCCAGTGCACATGGTACCTGAAATGCTTTTGCGGTGATGAAGGAGCCGAGCAGACCCGTCGTTGCCAACAAGGCACATGCTTCCATGATGCACTGCGGCCTGACCAGCTCTCTCTCTCTGAAGTGAGAGACGGACACTTCAGTTTTGTAAGACCGGGTACTTGGCCAACAAATCTGTGCAGGCAGAGTACACCTCCAAGACTTGCCTGACACAGTGGAGTTCGAGCAAGTAGAGCCAAGGAAAGGTCGTTCCTGGGGCCATCACACCCTTCCGCCCATGCGCTTCCTCCGCCGAACGATTGTGTGGCATGCGCACAATGCACACTGAGCCCCCTCCTTGCGAAGGCAAGTCCCATGAAGACAGGTAGAAAGCTCCTCACATCGGCGCGGCGCCACCGCACGACGAAGGATGCTCCGACTCAGAATCTCGACGAGGCCAAGCAAGGGCCGAGCGCAGTGAGCAGGCGCTGGACGGGCTCGGGCTCAACCAGTCCTAGGACCGAATCTCTCGTCCCGCGACCATGTTGCTCTCTTGGAAAACTCTCCAGACAATGCCTGCAGAGGAAATCAAAGCATCGGCAACCACCTGAGAATGACTTTGCACAGCACCTGGAGAATCAATCCCCTGCCACATTGCCTGTCGACAATGTTTGGCAAGTCCTTCAAGATGCTCGACCAACTGGCGACAAGGTGCCGTCTTCATGACTGCATGGCCCAAGGAAAGGAAGGGCGAAAAAAAAGGCCTCGGGAAGCGTCTTCTTCTCGGCCGTAAGCGAGTCAAGCTGCTCCAGGGCCCCTTGCACCTACCGGCCCAACCCTCGTGCACGAAGATTGCCCTTCACGGCGCTGACTGCGCCTTCTTGACGTCCAAGAGGCTTGCCTGTGAGTGCATATTGCTGGCAGCCAGAAGAAGGCTCTGTGGACCCAGCCTCCAGTTTGCATCGCGGGCAGGAGCCTGCTGAGCGCGTCTGTGGCAATGCTAACATAAAAGTCTGCGGAGCATTCCAGAGTTTCGAGCTGAGGAGCAGGTGAAATTGAAGGTTTCATTGAGGTACTTCTGTCGCAGGTGTCTGGGCCTTCTAAGCACATGTTCCGAGAATTTCACTTGCTGTGCCAGCTTGGTTGCAGGCTGAAGGGTTGATGCGTACCTGAAGACTGCATGAAATCGGTGCAGTCTGCGCGGCGCTTCATTTCAGCCAGGCCACGACATAAGCAACTCCTGACCATGGAGGTTTGCGGCATCGGCTCGAAGGAATCCAAAACCCTCGAGACTGGCTTTTCGCCTCGCCGGCGACCATCGGCTTGGATGCGCGCAGGAGCAGGAGATCGCCCAGAAACTGTTCCGCTACCTGCAGAAAGAGGTGTGAAGTAACGTGCGCTGCATTCACCCTCTGCGCGAAAACCCGTTCTCGTACTGAGGGGACGGCATTCGGCTGACAGGAATGGTTGATGAGCGAAGGCAGGAGCCAACACCCGAACCTTCACGGGTCGCAGGGTGCTCACCTCTGCTTGAAGGCCTACCCCATCACCGGGAAGTGTGCTCCGGATGTCGATCAGCTGCGCCAGACTCAAGAATTGTGTCTTTGCTCAGGGAGTTCGCGAGAAGGACCTGTCCGCTGCTTTGCCAGCCAAGTACGCGTGAAACTGCTGTACTTAGGCAGATGCTTTCTGGACCCTCTTGGCATCGACTTTTCGGCTTCGTTTGAGCCTCCAAAACGAACCAACCAAGAAAGCTATGTCACACGCCAGCTTTGCTCAACTGCCTCGGAAGATTACCGATCCAGTTTCGCAGATCACGATCCTTGGCAGCGAGCTCCTACTTTTCGTGTGATCAGACCACATGGAACTGAGGTGGAGACCAAGGCTGATGCCTGCTGCAGCTCGTCAGCCCCTCGGCTGACACTTGCCAACATCGGAACGAAACCTAGCAGCAGCTATGAGTAAGGGCTGCACCACCCTGCAAACACATGAAGTTCTTGTACTCCTCCTGGAAAGCCCCACTGGCATTAACGGGCAAACAGGCTTGCGCCCAGTCGCCTCCGAACAGGTCTTCAACTTCTCCAAAGCAGCTGCCTGTGCTTTAGCTCAGCCCCTAAGCGATGAGTGCGATGTGCGTTGAGTGAATGCATCGAGTGCATTGGCCTGCAGCTCGGCCTGTGGTGCGAGGACCAGTGCCTGACACCTTCGAGATGGAAAACAAACACACTAGTCACTAGAAGCTGTTCGCAATCTGGTAAACTTCGACAGCAAAGGCACACGACAAGCAGTTCGCCCTGAGCCACAGCGGAGGACACCACGAGCCTGGCTGCACCAGGCCGCTGCGTCTTCGTTGCACCGACCCCGGTCGGAGGTGCCGAGCACCCGGCCCTCGCCCAAAGCTGACATCGGCAATTTGCAGGCCTAGGCTCGACCGAGGCTCGGAGACAACGAAAAGACTGGAGCCCGGTTTTTCGGGGCCCGGGCGACCGTCGCAGTGGGGCTGCACAGGACATGCCTCTTTCAGGGATGCAGCCGATGCAGATGCACCCAGGAAGCACTGGCCCCCGGCCTTCTGGCCCTTGGAGGGCGTGAGCCACTGCGCAAGGTCGCTAGGTGTTGAAAGTCCCATTGTGCTTTGGGTTCAGAACTAACCGGCCCGGCCCCGGCACCTGTTTCTCATACTCGAAGACGGAAGGCCAGTCCAGCTCCGCAAGGCCGCTCATCCTGACGGTCCCCTGCAGCTTCTCTGAGTGCCTCCACGTCCGGTCTCAGCTCCTGAGAGGCCCAGCTTCGTCGAAAGCTCATGGCTTGAAGGCAAGAGGCACTCGTGGCCGCCTCATGCCTCACTCTCCGTACACAACGACTCCAAACCTCTCTGAATTCTGGCTCATTCGGCGTTTACAGTCAAACAAGAAGCCAGATAAGTACAGTAGCAGACACTTGTGAGTGTTGTTTCGCAACCATCGGTCTGGTCAGGCTTGCAAGAGCGACGCCAGCGACATAGGCGGATCACTTCATGCGCGAGCCCATAGTGAAGCGCTAAATTGCTGCAATGCACTGCACAGCGCAAGAGTAAAATGTCGATATGCACAAGTGATACACAGCTGAAAACGCGTCCATCTCACGTCCATGACCCCGGGCAGGCCCCTCTTTTGATTTACGTCCACCACTGACTCAAGCTGTCTTGCATGAAAATCCCCGGCCGTCTGATGCAAAGGCAACTGCATGCCAGGGTTCAAACTACGTACAGCACATCCGTGCCAAAATAACATACATAAAGGGAACAGTTGAGGATGCAACGTTGCGAGGCAGTGTCTGTTCTCGAAGCATGCCTCGAGCCGTAGCTACGTCCGTTTGCAGGACCTTGAGAACAGCCTGCAAAAGACACCAGCCCTCAAGCATAACATTGTAGCCCGCACGGTCCGGTGTGGAAAATTTTGACCAGCTGAGCTCGCATGTACAAGAACGCAGCATGAACCAAATGTTCAAGCACAAAAGGTGTCAAGTCGTAACGCAACACGGCAATGAAGTGGGTCATGTCAGCAGCCACACATTCATCGCCGATTTCACCCGGGCTCATTTTTGATTGGAACAATACCCTCACAACATCCCGCGAGGAGAAACTGCGCAAACCAGACACTTACATGCATCGAATGCTCTACTGTAGATGCTGAAATGGGCACTGTTCATAGATGCCCTGGGCACGGAAATTTTCGTTTGGAGCCTGGTGTTTCCGCCGCACCTTGCAAGCACATTCCAACTTCACGGGAACGACAGTTGCAGGTTACAGTTTCAAGTGCGAAAGCCTGGAAAGCCTTAAGTGACGAAGCCACCACCAACTTTCCAGAATGAATGGCTTGAAGTGTAAGGCGATGCAATGCAGCACGGCATGCAATCTACGCAGGTCGAGACCTTTTGTCTCAACTGGCGCAGGACACGCGAATTTTCCTGAAGCTTCAATCGGCAGGTTCCAGCTGAAGCTGGCACTCAGCTTGCTGCTTACTGCGCCAAGAAGCCCACCGTAGAAGTTGTATGATGACCTGAAGAACCAACCGTGCTTCAGCTTTGTCCAGAAATGCGCAACAAAAGTAGGCATAGGTCAAACCAGAAAATCGGTGGCGAGGAACCGGAAAACCGCAAACAGCCACATGCCCCTCGAGAAAACAAGATGATACACAAACTCAAGTGATGTGGATGCAACTTCCAGCAGGTTGAAAGACTATCACTGCTACTGTTTACTACTACTTCAACTATTACATGACTAGCCACTGCCATACCACGACGACTGCCAAACCTTGCGCACTGCGATCATAATTCTATTCGATATTGCTTCAAGACTTCGCAGAAGGCACGAAGCCTGGTAGGCTTGACTGGTGGTTCTGGCAACGCGCAGGAAAACGCCGGTGTTAGCTCTCTGAAGCCGCCGGAATATTCACTAAACCCGAAAAGCCCCGAACCCTAGAACGCGGACCTGAAAACTCGGTGTATATTAAACTAAGCCTGAAAATGCTGGAGAACCTGAACGAACAGTGAAACATCTACCACTTGCTGCTGTTGTTACTGCCGCTACTGCTGCTACTGCTACTCCTACTACTCCTACTACTCCTACTACTCCTACTACCTACTTTTTGCTCAGACCTTACGCTCGCGACGAACGCAAGTTCGACGTGCAAGATTCTGAGAGCAAGGGCAATGAATGATCATGCCGAAAAGTCGACACTGAACTCGTTTGGCTGTGCTTCCAACAAGCTCAACATAACTACTGGTGCCATCAAGCCAACTACGGAATCACCTGCTGCAGTTCTAGCGGCAAAGAGTCACTCCCTACCACACCGTGCGATCTTTGCCCCTGGGGATTGGAGCCACGGGGGTGCTTCGCTTCGACAGAGGGACACTTCTCCAGAAAGCATTTTGGCTTCAATACATGTGAGGCCAGTGCTCCAATTCGTTGCACCACTGTGGTGACTTGACCTTATCGACAACACACAGCTCTGCAAGTTCAACAGCAATCAGACACATGGCTCCGGCCCGTCGTCTTCAGGCTCTCGTCCACTCCACTCCGGAGAGTGAGAGACATCCTACGGACTACGGAGACCCAACTTTCTGCTACCGGAATGAGGCACTGATTGCTCCTGCAGTGAATGCCGGAATTCCATGTCCAGCTTGTCGCGACCTTCGCAGGCCAAAATACTTTCGGACACATCGATGGCTACACCCTCCATGAACAAGGATGATCGTAAGGCTCCAAGCGAGCCAAAATCTCCACCAGAGTTGTTCGAACGATTCTGGGTTGTTCCCTGACCTTGTGCTTTCAAGCATTTATGCGCCTTGCAACTTCCCGATGTATCCCAAAGTTAACAGGCCAGCAGCACATCATTGAATTTCGAGTCCGAGATGATCCAGATACTTCCTGGCCTGTCCGCCGAAATGAATTCGAGGATGGGATAGACAAACTGGAATGCAATGCAACTAAGCTCTCCAGCTCGAAAGGTAAGCTTACCAGGCGATTGGCGATGCTGTCCTCTGCAGCATGCTCCCACGGGAAAAGACTGCATTCTTCCGGTTGGCCAAAGCAGCACAGCACATTTACGCATCCAATATCCTCCCATTGAATGGACGGCCCACAATCCTTGACTTGTCGGCGGTCCTGGCAGGGTCGTTGAAGCGACGTTGTGCGATTATCTGCTGTCGCACAGCCTTGACATATTTGTACTCAATATGGATGAAATGAGAAGCTCGTGAAGCCTCTGCCTCCCCGCCTGCACGTCGAGTCTGCCACAAGCCGTTGTGAGGGGAGCTAAACATTCCAAAACGGACCGGCTGAGACATGGACTATCGCCACTTGAAACCACTTCAGGTTCCTCCGGGATTACAGAAGCATCACGTACCTGGACCAAGAAACGGGCACAGGAGGTGCTCTGCTTCAATCCGGCTGCAGACGTACGATCCGTGGACTGGCAACGGAGTGCCCTGGAGTGTCAAGGTCCTGCTCACAGCAAACATGCTCGCAACTGCAAGTTGAACAAAGTGCAAACCAAGATCTCCGAACGACACAAGGAAGCCGATGAGTCACTTGTTTCCGGCCTCCGTTTCGCGAAGTTACGCACAACAGCACTGCTTGAGCTCCATCCTTCTCTTGGCTTCTTGCGAGACCCACACTGGCGCCAACCTCAATTGAATGGGGATTGGACTCGGGAGAGGGCAGGTCCGACAGTGTATGATGTCCTTAGGCAACGGCATTGCCCAGCAAGGATAGCACAAAGCTCCCGTTCGAAGTTGCCTTCACACTGGACGCTTGCCGCAGTGATGCCGTCGTTGACTGCAACACCGGGCACCGGGCAATCCCGATGTGTAGCAGTCCCACGCTCCCAGCCTTGCAAAGCAACCAAGGTCTGGCTCTGTTCTGGTATCAACTGTCGAGATTCCGGAGTCTCGAGGTCCCCGCTCCGTGCGGGCGCCGACGACAGTCACCGTTTCGCCGGGCCTATAAAGTTCTAAGCAGTCGAGAAACGGAAACACGACCGACGAGAAGAAAATCGGGTGCCGGAGGAAGGAAAGAAGTTGGTAGCAGGGCTTGCCTGGTCTCTGCGTGCCGCATCTCAAAGAGCAACCCGAGACGACCCATCGCTCGGCCTTCCGGCATCTCTCAGTCAGGGTTTTGTCTCGACTATGTCAGCGCAGTCTTCACGCCTGGGACAGGGGGCTCCACTGCCACCCGTGTCACCGTGAATTTTCTGAACGCTATCTACTACCAACTACACTCGAGCCACATGACCGTTCAGGCAGCAGCGACAAAGAAGTCAGTCTGAAATCCATCAGAGCTCCCAAGCCTGCAGCTCAACGTCCCTTGGCTACCGCAGCCTCGGACTCGAGTTCCTCGATGCGAGGATGCCAAAACCCAGACTTGAGGTCCTCAAGCAGTACAAACTCAGTACTTCCATACACACATTCAAAGACGAGATGTTTTTTGTGAGATCTTACGTGTTCTGTATAGTATTGCAAAAAGCCCATGTGTGTGACATTGTACGCACGGCTATCCATGGTGACACATACTTCTCCTTGGTTAGGCGTTGGCCAGGCTAGTCAACATCATGCCGGCCTCGTCTTACTCGAATCGATCTCATGCAATCTCCATCTGCCCTGAGAACTGGGTGAGATTTTTTGCACTGCTCGGATGCTGTCTTTGTGTTCTCGGTCTTGGTCGTGCCGCCGACCGCCCACCTCTGGGTCTCCAACGGCCAGCTCCTGGCTGCGCGAAGGGTGGGGGGACCTACAGAAAGTCGGAGCGCCTGGATCTGCATCTGTAACCTGAAAAGAAGGGGAAGTGTCCGTGGCCGTGGAACTCGCTTTCGGCGCACAGTGTCTCAGGTCTCCACTCGGACATCGCATCGGCCGACCTGGACTTGGCCTGGAATGAGAAGGAGAGGGCACGTCCAAAAGACGCCCATCCAATCCGCAGGCCAGGCCTGCAAGGACCGCTTCTCGGTTTCCAAGACCTGTGTCTGCCTGGGGTTCAGCTCAATCAAGTCGCTTCCCCTGGGATCCCACATCTGTGTTCCTGGCTGGTTGATGCGCGTTGCTCGTGCCTGCAGCGACTGAGCCCGACTCTTCTCCGGAAAGTAGCAGCTTCATGCCTGCTCCGCCGCCATCTCCATTTGAATCTCTTGAAGCTCTGCTTGCAAAGCCCTCCAATTGATAAGGATCGGATCGAGACTTGGACTCTGCCAATACAAATGTCATGAACCGGCCTGAGGTCGTCAGGACCTCGTCTCGTCTCAAGGCATACCAATCCGAAAGTTGTTGCATTGGCACACTGACTGCACCGGCCTGATGGGTTGCTGATGTTGCTGTCAGCAGGACGTGAAACCTGCATGTGCGCGAAAAATCGTTTCGGGCGGGAGGGTTTCGCGAGTGCCTTGGCTGCATGCGGGGTAAAGCACGTGTGCATGCGAGGACAAGTCGTAGCGAGTGTGCACCGTATATATCTGCTTGCCACTTGCAGTGCTAAACACGCGGAAGATTGAGAGTGACAGTCTTTGCCCGGCATGGTGCAGTGCAATGGGAACGCACCCCTCTTTCAATAGCCCAAACACGAGCAATCCACTGCGACTGCGACCCTCCCGCGATCACTCCCCATCATGCCAAATAGTCCTGGTCTGTCTTGAGGGTGCCTACACAATCTGGCTTGACGTCCGTGTCGGACGTCTGAGCGACTCCAGCTTCTGTCACAGCCTATGCTGGACTCGTTGCTGGCAAAAACACCCCGACCCGACCCGACCTCACCGTTGTACGGACTCGTTGCAGCGGATCGGCCCGGGAAACTAAACCTGCCGTTGCTCGATGACTTCGACCAGGCCGACAAGGAGGTTCTCCAAGACCGCTTTGCTCGCTCATCGCAGGCAGTCTGGTTAGACAGTGACCGTAGAAGCTATCAACCGAGCAGAGGTGTCCCCGTGCATGCCTGTGCAAGGCTCAGAGTGCCGTCGTGGTAGAGACAGCACTGCGCAAGCCATGCTTTTGCAACTGTTGGTGTCCTAACAGCTTGCAAGGATGCGGGGCACTTACTCGTAGTTCCATTGATCCCACTTGAAGCACATGCATTTGCCATAGTGCGCGCGTGTGCGTGTGTGAGTGCGTAAGCGTGGCATCAGTCGCATGTTCCGTGTGGAAGGTGGCATCGTCACATGGATCCGGAATGACACCACCACATACAACCACGCCGGACGACATGGTGGGATGTGTGGCGTAGCCCCTGTTGCTATTCCCAGAATATGTTCCGTCGGCATAGCAGCACACCTGGTTTCATCAGTTGGGCCTTCGCTTCCTGCATCTGTCGCCCCTGCAGCGAACAGTGGGCGACCGATCATCCGGCAAGATAACTCCATGCCTGGTACTCCCGAAGAAGAGAAGACAGTAAAGCTTTCCCGGCCAGAAGCTGATTTTGGGCCTCGTGCACCACTCTGCGGCTGGATAATCCGGCTGAGTCTGACCGCACTGGGCCCTCGGCTTCCACTACAACTTCCTGGCCTCGTGCAACTCAATGTGCCATGTCACCATGTTCCCCACTGTGACTTGTGGCGAGCCCTGCAAAACGTGTAAAAATCATACCACATACACCTCATGACACGCGTGCATTGCGTGCGTCGGAACCAGGTAACCAGCACTAAGCAAGCTGGCGCTGGGAGGTCATCGTGGATGCGATGCGCATGGCTTGGCCGCCGGCCTGTGCCTTCATTTCTCCACAGCCACGCTCCTTCGCCGTGGCTCCTCTGCTGAGGCACCGGCACGTTCCAATGCTGCCTGGAGAAATGCTTGCCTCCGGGGTGAAACTTGCAAGACGGGCTGCGAACGTGAAACCTCAGCATCGGACCGCTTCTTTTCTTGCAGCACCTGGTCAAGTTGGAGAGCGGAGAAATCCGAGCTACTCATCTAATGTTGTAAGGCACTTGGCGACACGTGCGTCTTGCTTTCGGCTCGGAGGAAACACTGGCTGGCTTTGGGTTTTAGTTTTGTATTTTTTCTTGGCGGGGTTGCCTTCTTGTCTTCTAAACCGTTATCACGGGGGGGCCTGCACACAGCTGAGCGTGTGCTGCAGCAGGAAAGCGAAGCCGGCCGATGCGATAACGCGGGCCGGGACAATACGAGTCGCAAGCCGACAGTGGAGACAAGTCTCCGAACCGCGGCCGGAACCGGGCGATGGTCCGGTCAAGGCAAACGAGTCCTCCTGGCAAACACCTTCACCGTCAACAGGAAATCCGAGCTCCCGGTGCGCTGGTCAAACGCAGCAGTGCTTCCATCACACAAGTCGTCACGCACAGGGGACCTTACCTCCTGCTGCCGAGTCGCGTCGTCAGCTGGATTAAGCTCAGAAGGAAAGAAGATGTGATGTGGGAGCACGTGGTGCTAGCCGAGCGCCCTGGGAGCCGTGAGAGCACGCAAAAATCTGTCGAGAAAGATAGATTAATCCTAGACACCAGACGCTGGAAACTGCAGTATCCGCGTGGAGGAAAACTTTAGCCTCCGCGAGCTCCGTCTGCTCAAAAGTGCTCGGTTCCAAGGCCAAGCAATGCGTCCTGGTGAGCTGTTAGTTCATGTTGCTTCGCCCCCTCGTGGGCTTCTTAGCATCGTGCTTGTCATTGATGACTTTCATTCAGCGTTGTTGGATCCTGAGCTTGAGCTCCCTGACGGAGCCCCCTTCCCGGCACCACCTTTGTATTTGGGCTAGTATTTGGGCTTGGCCTCTTTCCCGGCTTTTGTTGAACTCTGGCGGAGTGAGTACCGCTCCCGCGTTCACATAAACATCGCTGAGCTTGAAGCCTATCTCCGAGAGGAAAGCCGCGCTGGGAACAAGTCGGCACCTGTTCGCTTCGGATTCTTAGGTAGCGATCGGCGCCGTGGCGAAAGGGCGATCAGCTAGTCCGGTTCTCAACGAGAGTACAGCAGCAGTTTTTGCTCCACCTTTGCAAGCATGGCACAGCAAGTGGCTCTTCGCAAGGAGCCGGAGCTCGAGCACGCAGCAAGGGGTGCTCATAAAGGTTAATAAAATGCCCGCCTGGGGCAACAGTAGGCGAGGGAGTGAATTCAGCAAGCCGGGCACGGAGCTCTGCACGGGGGCTTCCTCGGCAGGCGGCCCGGAGTAGCGGGAAGGCAGTCGAGGAGGCAGAAGTGTCCTGCCCGGCTGAGTTCCCCTGCCCCTGTGCAATTTGAGGCTGCTGCGGCTCGACTGATCTCTCAGACGAAAAGCCTGGGAGGTGGTGGCAGCTCCAGGGTCAGCTCGGACGCCAAGGTCCAAGAATGAGGAGCACGTCGTTTAAGCGGGCCCGGCACTGATGCACAAGGCCGGCCCGAAGAGCGTCCAAGGCCCCCGCAGCACTCCAGGCTAGCTGCATAGTTGTCGGACATAAGGCGCTCGATCACGGCAGTGATGTCGGCAGGGCTGTTGGTCAGAACTTCGCACGACAAGCACTCGCATTCCACTGGCTGGTAGGCAAGCCTCCGGCCCCGGCAGATCCAAAGCCTGCGCTTTCCAGGCCTCTTTCCAGCAGACCCCTTTTCAGCTTGCTCCCGCGAGCACCCCTCCATCATTGTGAAACATAGCAGCAGCGAACACCCGGCTCCGGCCGCGGACTGCAACCCAGAATCGACGCCAGCACCTCCTCCTCGCAGTCCTCCAGTGGATTCGAGGGCCCAGTGTAGAGGGAGGGGCTCGGCGGCGAAACGACTGGAAGAGACATTGACTCGTGCAATGTCTCAGTTCCACAGCAGGTCCACAGAGAAAAAGCACGCAACGCAGACTCAAAGCCGGAAGACCAAAGACCAGAGGACCACCCGACAAATGACGAGCAGACCAGAACAGGAGACTCCCCTCCCTGTACGGCAAACCAAAGCTGCCGTGAGGTTACACCCCAACGCTTCTCACCGCAGCCACAGCCAAGACGAGGAGATGGGAACAATTTGGAAGAACACTACCAGGTGGACTGCCCCTAAAGATCTAACCCTGGATGTACCTGCAGACCAGAATTTGCCAAAGAAGAACATGCTCGCACGCACTTGAGATGAGCCATGCAGCGATACGGCGGCACCTCTTCCCGGAAAGCCGCCAACCTCTCATAACAATTCAACTGAACTTGCCAACAGGGTCAAGACTCTGTCGAGCCTCAGCTGCACCTGAGTCTCTTCCCTTGTGGCCTCTCACTTGCGCAACGATGGGCTCCCAACTGACTTGTCCGCATCGCGGAGGGACTGCACAAAAAGCCGCAAAGCCTCCAGCTCGGCATCTTGTAATCGACGCTGCCGAGCCTACAGGTACTGCGTCACAAGCACTCATGTTTCTGAGGAGATTACCAGAGATTAAGGACACTGCCACCAAAGCCGCGTGCTCCAGTCTGCAGTCCAGCACCTACCCACAAATCGCGACGACAAAAGGCGCTTCCCATTTCCACCTTCTGCACCTTCTGCAAGCCTCGGCTTGATCGATCCACGCAGGAAGGCCGGCATGGCCTGACTAGGCCACCCAGCAGAACGAATCTATCAGGTTGCTAGATGAACCTGCTATAGCGATGCAGAGTGCCAAAGCCTTCGGACATGCAACTTCCGGATGGATCAAATGATGTGGACTCTGCTGCCTTCGAGCAGTGATGACAAGAGACGGGCAAAAATCGACTCCTGTCCTGCCTGCGCGAGGTTTGTCCGAAATGTCGGCGAGGTCACCCTGTACATGCACAACCACTGAGAACGGAAACCATGTTGCCGGCGGATGCCGCTGGCATGAGCACGAAGCATCCATGTTCCTGGGCTAGGATCTTTACCAACAACCTCCTGAGATCAACAAAGCAGGTCATGCATGTGAATTGCTCAGCTCTGCCTCGCATCGGATGTGGCGACATGTGCCGACCCGGGCTCAACAGGGTCTGGCCTGTCTTCACACTGAAGGCAGGGTTCTTCACGGGGACACGATCAGACCTGCCTGGGCAAGTAGCCCAACAATCCCAACGACGGGGACTCTTCATGCATATCAAACTATTTGGAGAACGTTGACCCGGAGCGCCGCCTCCAACAGAAGCCTGGTTGCTTTGATTATTTTTGCTGGACGAGTCGATTTGAGGGTTGCTTGCCAGGAGCCGAAACTGTCAAAGGCGAGCCACGATGAAAGCAGTATTACCTGCAGGTCCCTTGGATCGGCTCCTTTTTGTTGAAAGCTTGCACGATTCACAAGCTGAACAACACAGCACTCACAGGCCTGCAAGATGGCTTGAAACATAAATTGCTGCAGACAGAACTCCGAAAGCTTGAACCCCATCTTGCAGGAACTAGGAATGGGATGCGTGAAACTTTCTGAGGCCGCTTGCTCTATCTGAGAACTGTGAAAGCTCCAGGATTCCGAGATGACACCATGCACTGCTTCTGTTCTCAGAAAGAAAGCGGGGAAAGACGGGTCAGGCGGCTCTATCCTCAGTACAGCCAGTGTGCAAGAACTGTGCGCAAATCTTCATTCAGTCCACACATGAGTCCGATGATTCGATGTGCATCACCGATTCTTCTGCGGCGGTCCTTGCAGATCTTCGTGAACCTCTCTTTGAAGGACATGTCCTTCCATCGATTATTTAATGCTCGGATGAATTTGAGCTGAGAAACAGGATTGAGACAACTGCTCTGAAAGACCGAAAGCTCGCGGGAACGTGGCCCACGCGGGATTGCAACAGCAATAGCGCGAATCATCAGGAGCACCGCAGCAGTTGGAATACGGCAGGTCGGTAATCATATGCAGTCAAAGGCTCAGCATGAGTGGATTTGCAAACGCACGTGTGGATCCAGGGGGCATGCGCTGGTTGCACTGGGTGATTGGCTGGCGGGGAGTGAGTGCATGTGAAGATTTTCTAGCTTGTTGACCACGGAGAAAATTCCATATATATATATATATATACATGTTGAGACAGTAGTAATTTTAGCCAAGCATCAATGCCAAATGAAATCAATGAGCTCAATAACAGTGAAGCAGAACATGAAACCCCAGCTGATGCTCTGGATGATGGGGCCTGCCATGTCACTTGCTCACATGTCAGTCAATGTCCTGAGATTACGACGAAACATAGACTTGCAATTAAGCGCATACGGTACATTACATTGCACAAAACAGCTGAAGAACGCACCACTCAAACCGCTTGAGCATGGCCCTGAAACTGCGATCTGTCATCCTGCGCTTTGCGGCCTGACCCGAGCGCACGTTCTCCAGACTCAGGGCCCCATAAAGGCACTGCCGAACCACACCACTGCCCCACGGGTCCTCGTCCGCGACGTCTACGGGCCGCTGCTCATCAATGTTCATGAGCCTTTACCGGTTCGTTGGATCGGCTAGGAATGTGTATATGTCGAGCTGGAATACAAACTCTTGCGCAGCACACGGGTTGAGAGCACGACGCTGGATCGGCCTTGCACTCCAGCAGTGACTGACACACCTTGGAGTCAAGACTTCTGCCATGGTATGGAAGGATTTGCACGGGCCCCCGGACTTGCAAGTGGCCTTCCTTCGACGCGAAATGTAGCGCACTCCAGCCATCTTCTTCGACCTGACGGCTGACGGCAGTGCGAAGACACCTTGCCTCCGCCAGCAGCCGCATGAGAAGCCGAGTGAGAAGCGGCATTTACTTCTGCGCGAGCTTGCAATAATCTTTGGACACATTCAACTGAACCTGATGTACATGCTTACAAGACTACCAGAAGCCGACGCTGCAAAGCTTGCCCAAGCTAAGGCACAAACCTTTTTGAGCAGCAAACCTGAAGTAAACGAAAGGCTTTGAAACAAGCTGACATGCCCACATCTGGGGCTTGGTTCCAACAAGAGTTGCAAACTTTCCCGGCGCAATTGGAACTCGGCTGTTGACATTATTGGCGTCATCCCAACAACTGCCGGATCATCACCTTTGAGCAGTTCGTGACTTGGAACAGCGGGGAAGGTCGTAGTCGTAGCTAGAGCACAGCAGGGCTCTAGCGAATTGGCACCTCCCACGATCAAGCTCATATGCAAACGACGTGACTTGTAGGCTCTGGTCCTGAACTACGCTCCGACTTACAATCTCAAGTTCTGGAGACACAGACTGTGAAGATTGTTCGTTGACTCTGCAAGCTTTGGTGCAATGGAGGCGTGAAGCATCAGGCCCTGTAGAGGAGAAACATACCCCAGATATCTTCATCAATCACATCTCGCTCTCGACAGATGCATCACATCAGAGCCCGTGACCAGTTCCTTTTTTCCCAGTGTCGGGCTTCTGTGGCTTCATGACCTCGGTAACACATGCTGTTTAAGTGTCTCTCGCCAAGCGACAACTCCCGCTGCTTCCTAATGCAGGCCACGCAGCGAGCGGCCGCCGGGTTTCTGTCCACGCTCCCTTGTCCAAGGCTTCGCTGACTCCACGAAGATTGCCCTGGAATCACGATTCACCCAAGTGCAGCCCCTTACCCCAACACTCCCCGCCTGTCGAGCGTACTGCAGAAGCTCGTGATTCAGCAAAACCTGCAGGCACATCGACGACCTTCTTCTAGCCGAAATCAAGGTGGCAACTTGCCTCATCACTGATACGAGCCCCACCACGGTTCGCCGATGCAACCACGCTTTTCACACCTTCCTGGAGTTCTCAACAGACTGATTGTCAACATGCTTGGAGAACGAAACCTGCTCTTTATGATTATTCTGCTGTGATGTTTCTGCCGCCGCAACTATGCGCACAGCCAGCAGGAACGGCACTTGAAATGAAAGGAAGCAGCCTCCAACGCGGCACAGTTGACCATGACGTCATCATCCCACACAGCCGACCCTGGGTTGATGCGTATGTAATAATCTAGTAGCCACATGACCACATGGAAGGGCCTGAATGAGCAGTTGATGTTGATCCGGACTTTGCCTCGTTGTAGGAGGTATTTGACAACCGCGGCACGGTTTGGCTTGCAGCTGAACACAAGCCCCATTCGGGCATGGAAATCTATTCGCCATCTGGGCATCTGGCGTCACGTCCATCAGTTCCATCGCACGTCTTGAGCACATCGAGACCTCGCAAACTGGGTAAATTCAAAGACCCGACAGACACGAGGTCTGGTGCACTTTCACAACAATACACAAACGTATGCTTCCAAGCGCCCTGCTTTGGCCCATGATAAGGCATGCGACGTGCTCAAACAACGGGGTGCCGCTCTTGAAGCTGAAGGAAGCGATGCGGCATGGTGCTTCACGGGTTTAACATGGTTTAACTGACGGCGTTTTTGTTGACCAATCGCATGTTCAAGCCGATGAAGACCACACATTTTCTGCAGTCGTCATAGTGATGATGAGGAAATCTTATAAGGGAAGAAGATCATATGATTTGGCAGCCAGTCACCTTGTCCAACTTGTGAAGTTGCCAACACAGCCGGCAGGAATTGCAATTGCCAGGAAGCAAGGCAGTGCAAATGAAGATTTGGCCGACAAAATCTTGGCTACTTGCTTCTTGGTCCTTTGCATGCAGGTGGAAACACTCTAACTGCAAGAAGACCAGAGAATCGACTGTTGGAGCGAGCCGGAAGCGAACTTGCAGTTTTTGATTATGACTTCGCGTAACCGCGCATGTTGATGTGCGTTATGATGTTTCATGTGCTCCCTGCTCGATGCTGATTTTGGCGTTATGACAATTCACATCACATGTTGAAAGATTCTGCTTGTGCGATTTTGAATCAAAACCAGCGCCAGTAGAGTTGATCAAATCTGCTGAGCCGAAGAAAATTTGCAACCACTCACGTGCGACATAATTTCAATCGGTTTTTGGGACACTGGACGATGGCACGATCGGCTGCACTTGCTTTTCGAGCTGTGATTGCTCAGACTCGCTATCTTCCCCGGTGACAAAAACTCCAAATTCTACGTGGGAAAAGCAATGCAATGCAACAAAAAGAAATTTTCACTCCCACTCGCAGAACTATGGAAGTTACATTTCTTCATTTCATCTAACACGAGCGTCTGATCTGAAGGACAGATTGCGACCGCTCGAGAACAAGCCTAAACCTCCGTGTGAAGCTGCACAACGTGCAATTGCGTGCATTCTTTGCAAACTAAGTGGTGCTGCGAACGGCTGAGCAGACACTGCATCTGTTACAAATGACCAAACGAGGCTGAAGGCCTTAAAGGCTGATCCGGAGTTCCCTCCCGAACCTGGATTAGAACCTGGGTTTCAAATTTCAATCCTGGGTTCAAACCTGGGTTTTAAAACCTGGGTCGTTCTGTTCGGGTTAAAACCCAAAGTTGAGAAAGGCCACGCAATCGCTTCAGCCAACCACGGCAGGCTTGCACCCAACCTACGGCGACATGATGTGTGCGCAAGAAGCACGACAAGACGTACGCACACACACAGACACAGAAGCATATATGTTTAGGGAGGCATATGATAACTAATTCCAAAACCACTACAACGTCACTACAACATCACTACAACGGTGTTTTGCATTCAAAACGATTCTTTTAACAATGATTCAATAATGATCGAATCAATGATGATTCAAAAATGATTCAATAATGAGACAAAAATGATTTAATCATCAATAAGACTTGAAAAAATCAATCAACATTGAGTAACAATGTTACAATGATTACAGATTTACGCGGTCACTACGCAGTCACTACGGTCACTTCGCAGTCACTACGCGGTCATTACACGGTCACGCGGTCACTACGGTTACTGCTCACTACGCGCTCACTCTGCGCAAACTCTCTAGTACTTTTCCAAGCGCAAGCACTTCCAAGGCGCATGCCACACTACCACGCCTGTCAAGTGGAGCAAACAAAAGTTTCTTCCAAAATTAATCCGAGAAAACGCTTTGCAAACAATATATTCAAAAAAATCAATTCAAATCATAGCAATATCACTCGAACTCGAATGTTTTCACCAAGTCGGTCAAACGGTCGGATCAGACAAACTCGAAGCTGGAGGTGGCTGCAGTGGCATCGCTACTGACGAGCAGCTGGTTGACTGCTTTCCTCCTCTAAGTTGCTACTGGCGCCGCAACAGAGTGTAGCCTCCACAAATTCCACGTTAGAAAGAGGTTACCTTTTCTACAAGGTGGACAGAGGTGGAAAAAGAATTGGAATGAGTAACATCCTTTCGTCGAGATTGTAAATCCAAGAAAACACTGCAAATTTTTATTCGAAAGTAATTGGACGAATCAAGCTCTCTCTAGGGAGAGTGTCAGCTCCCACTCTGTGACAGCTACGGGTCAAAATTCCGTCCTTTAAGGGTCTGCCGATTTTGAGGGCTGGAGGCCGTAGGGTCTGCCATTTGGGAGTGCTGCGTCGCGCTCCGG